AATGGAATCAACCCAAATGTCCATCAGCTGATGAATGAATAAAATGTAGCATACCCATACAACAGAATATTATTCACTCATAAAGAGAGTGAAGTACTGATATATGCTACATCATGGGTGAACCTTGAAAAAATTATGTGAAGTGAAAAAGCCAGCCACGAAAGGCCACATATTGTATGATTCCATTTATGTGAAATGTCCACAATAGGCAGATCCATAGAGACAGGAAGTAGAATGGCGTTTGCAGGGGCTGAGGGGGAGATGAGGATTGACTACTGAAGGGTAACAGCTTTCCTGGAGAGTGGTGAAAATGTTCTAAAACTAGATGGTGATGGTTATACATATTCGTGAATATATTAAAAACCATTGATTATATACTTCAAATGGGTGAATTTTATAGTATGTAGATTGTGTCTCAATACAGCCATTTTAAAAAATGTCCATGGTGTCAGAAGATTTTGCGCCTCACCTTCCATTTACTCTTTCAGATAAAAACCTGTCCCTGTAGAGAGAGGCCCAAGGGCCCAGCTGCTCCAGCCAGAGGACAACTTCTTCCGCTGTCCATTTGGCCACAGCCTTGTGGACCAGGAGATCATGCTCAGATTCCCTGCTGCTCCAGTGATACACAAGCAGGACCACCTGGGGAAGAGTGACAGGGACCTTAAACATGGAGAGCTCAGAGAAGCCGTTTCTAAATACGCTAGTGTGGGGCAGGGAAGGGGAAAGGCTGAGCTCAAAGGGAATGATGCTGAGTGTGTACATGGAAGCAGGGCGATGCCACTGCCACGGAGAACAGAGGAGCACAGCTATCCTTGGAACATCTCTCTGACTGCTGGGCAGCGACGGAACAGAGGCCAGAACGGGACTCATCGCAGAGCACCTGGAAGCAGTTGCTCCCTTGACTCCATCAACTTGGTCAACATAACTGACTCGTGCTTTTTCTATTGGAAAAACATTTAGATTTTTGTAGCGTAACTTAAAAAGAAAATAAGCCTCTGTATTGGAAGTTAGTGATGCATACTTAACATTGACTCATCAAGGCAGACATGCTCTGGAATTCCAGTCCTACCACCTTTCTGCACCTGTTTCCTTAGCTCTATTGGAATAATAATAATGGTGACTGCTGCATAGGTTATCAAGAGGATTAAATAGGATAAAGCTAACATTTACTGGGTGCTAACCATTATGTGGTCTACTTGAGTAAGCAACATTCCTGGAGAAATCATACAACCCAGCAGATTTCAATGCAGGCAGTGAATTACATGCAGTCACGTCATCAGTTGTTTAAGTGATTTTAACAGCCATGACTTCAGTGGAAAATAGCAGTAGGGGGGTCAGGGCTGGGGTGCACAGAGATATAGCAATAGACTTACTGCCACACCAGTTAAAGCTGTGAGCACTCCGGAAAAGAATCCCCCTCCTCTCTGTTGATTCACTTGGCCTGTGGTGGGAGCTAAAGGAATCTGATCATTCCCATATTTTTGAAAGGCTGCAAGACTTTGGACTATGTCATTATTCTGCTGAATGTCTTCAAATCTCATTCTAATGGCATCAGGAAACAGCTTTTCAATGGCATCCCTATGGAGAACAGAGAAAAAAAATCACAAGACATTGTTTGACTAAATATATTAATACTTATAATGTTTAGAGGCCAAAATAAAACTAATAGTCAACATTTAATGATATACAGATACCCTAGGTGAACTGACAAGAATATATGTCATAGTCCTGTTGGTAAAAGCAAAAAATTAGAAACAATCTCATGTCTACTATTAGGGAAAGAGTTAAATAAAATATGGTATATTCATTCAATGGAGTATTACATAGTTTTCAATGAATTTACTGGATCAGTATGTGTCAAGATAGATAAATTTAAGACACACATATTGTTGAATGAAAATAGTAAACTGCAGAATCACGCAGATAGTACACCACTGACTGAGAAAATATTTGCATTTTCTATTGGTACATATATGTTTAAAAGTATTTTTTAAAATCTTAAAGAAATGACAACTAAGTCATACGTGAAATTACTCTGGGGAAAAGGATGGAAGGAAGGAAGGATTCTAACATGGAAAGAGAGGTCAAAGAGGTCTTGCTTTATCAGTAATGTTCCGACATTTTAAAAAGAATGTAAACAATGAATATATATAAAAGATATATTGCTTAGGTTAGTAACATTAGTTTATAAAAGGGGGGAAAAAGCAAAATTCAGTAGTAAGAGAAAGGCCAACCATCAGGTTATACTATAGGGCTGTTTTCATTTTCAATTATACACCATCAGAGACCCCTCCTTCAAGTTAAGATTACCCTTCAGGTAAAGCAAGCCTGACAGGTAAGAGCAAACTGTAAATACATCTCCTGTGAAAAAGAGAATATTGGGTTAATGGTTTCATGGAACTTTCTGGTACTCTGTTGATAATCAAGAAGGCTACACACATTGCCAAGGCAACAGAAGAGGGGACAAGGATTTACGCCTCAAAGACCTTAGAGGCACATTATGACCACAAGGAAGCAGAAAAGAAAGGTAGCTTTGTCTGTGTGATGCTATACATGAGAAACTATTCATGTGATAACTGGAACAGAGTTTGTAAAAAGATTTTGAAAATCACTATCAAATCAGTTATTCAGAATTATACAGTTATACCATTTTCTCTATTAGACCTAAAGTGTTCTCAGTAAACATTAATA